CACAACGATTTAGAGTGGTTCAACTTTCTCAACCAAAGTGTACGTCCACTACCTTAGTTATCCACACTAAGAATTTTCCACAAATTCACTAATTTGTCTTTCTTTTGAGGACAAAGAGTAACCTTACAAATCCCTCAAGAATTATACCCCAAATTCTTGAGAACACTCTCTCCCAAAGAGAATAATACAAATTTTGCAAACTTACAAGAAAATTCTCACAAGACAAGATGTTTGCACAATTCTAGAACAAAGAAAAAAACACTAAAAAATGAATACAATTGAATACAAGTAGTGTTCTTGAAAGCAAAATGAATATTGAATGAAAAATATGCTTGAAATGCTCAAACTTGAGGTTTGTTGCTTTCTCTTTGATTCTCTCTTGATTCTTGTTGATTGTTGTTTCTTGTTTTGATCAATGGCTTCTAAGCTTGTTTAAATACACCTTCAAATGATTTTGAACGTTGGAGATGCTTAGTGGAGTCAATAGAGCCGTTTAAGTGTGAAAACAATTAATTAAAGCAGTTGGGAGAGTCAATGCATCGATGCATACCCATGGTTCATCGGTGCATCAGTGTAAAATTCAAATATTTTAACCGTTTGGACCCTTAGTGCATCGGTGCACTAAGAGTGCATCGATGCATCAAGTGCATTCGATGTTTCAAAATAGTCAGAGTGCATCAATGCATGGTTGGTGCATCGATGCATCAAATGCATTCGATGTTTTCATAAAATCCTCAGTGCATCGATGCATTAAAATCCATTTGATGTTCAATTTATTCCATGGTGCATCGATGCATGGATTGGTGCATCACTTTGAAAAATTGATTTTAGGCTTGATTTTGGTTCAAAATACTTTGTGAAAATTGTTTCAAATATATATTAAGTATAAAACACAAAATTTACACTTTTAGTAAGGTTTGAAATTGATCTTGAAAGACTTGGAGTAACAATTTGATATTCGATTAATTAAATCGAATATACTTAGAAAATCGCTTGTAAAATCTTAAAATTCATTTAAACTTAATTTGTTATATCAAAACATCAAAAATGTTTTCAACATTTACTACCATAAAATTTACTTCATATGACAATTATATATATATATATATATGTATAAACCCAACGAAAAAGAATAATTAACTAAATATAATTAAGCGCTTAGGTCAAATTCCTCTATATTTTTTGCTCTGCTCGCTCGCTCTCTCTTTTATTTTCGTTTACAGAGGACGACATTAGTTTTAAAGCTGATTCTCGGTCGTTGATATATATGTTTTTAATCATTAGATATTTATGATTCGTATTTTTCTACTTTTATAACACTTTTTGTTATATTTTTTTGGCATGCTTTTATTTTTTTATCAATGGGTTGACATTTTTTATTTAATTTTCTCAGGATTAGATTTGACATCATTTCGACTGATCAGGATGACGCTTATTTGGTATCATACTGATCTTCTATATTTTGGACCCTCAAATTCGATTTAAATTCGATTTGGATTCGCAATTTGGGTTCATATATACTTATCTAATGATGCTTGACTCTGATTTGCACTTTTTATGGTCTTACAATAGTTGCATTTCATGTTATGGTTCGTTTGCCAATACAGTCAAATATATTTGTATTAATATTTTATTCGAGTTTTATTAAATGGATTTTTAACCTTTTCCTTGCATGGTCTTTTGTATGATCTCAAGTGAATAGTGTATTATATAATTGTTATAGGAAAATATATTAATTATACATTTAGATTAGGCTTATGGTTATAAACATTTTATTATAATTTTAGATTTTCTTCCTATTTTTTTTTTTAAAAAAAACTAGTTGCTTCTGTTAACCTAAAAATGCTAAATAAGGTTAAGCCTTATCTTAAAGTACATTTCAGAACAATAGACAATACATCAGTAAGGAAAATGATTGAAGAAGAATCTCTGAGATTAAGAGAGTGAATGGCGGAAATTGTGATGTCGGGCAATCAAGATCATATGGAAAAGCTTAGCGAGTGGCATTGGCGAAGTGGTAGGTGGCCTGTCAACGAAGCTTCAAAGTCTTCCCCTCTGATCCAAACAAGAAAATCAAGGGGTTGGGATTCTTGAACCTATCCTAATTACACGTTGATAATAATGGGGGCAGCTAACCATGCTTATCTTAACATTAATCAGCTTGGAGCCCATTCCACATATGGCCACCTTATCTTTTGCATGGCTGCGTCCACTTGGTTTAACACTTTGTATCTCATCATTATTTAACAATTAAGGCCGGTTTAAATTTTAAATGCATGATTAATAATTAATTAACCCCCATGTCCACCACCACATGTAGTCGACGTCTATGATATATCTTATTCGTAATTAGTCTATTTTATACACGAAACTCAAAATCTTAATTATATATGTTTATTTAGTATAATAAAATAATATTAACGAGTTAAAATTAAATTGTCAATGAACTATTCATCCGACGTTGTATTCATTTATAATTGTGGAATGATTTGAAGAATTATGTTAGGAGTTATTATTATTATTATTGTGTCTGTTTTTAAGGTTTTAACAATTTCATCTCTAAAATCTGAATCTAAATCCTCTTCTTGGAAAGTTAATCCAACTAAAGACGAATGAAGTTTCACATGATATTTCAAGAAAAAGAGGGTTACTTTCATACGATATCGAAAGGCCAACTAAGAAAATCCATTTCAAATACCTGAAGTAGTAGTAGGGGTTTGCAAATTTACCCGACCTGGTTGACCCGACCCGTTGATCCGCCGACCCGGATATAAAAAACCGGGTAATTCTCTAAAAAAATACCCGGCCGGGTCGGGTACCCGGCCCGACATTTTCCGGGTCAGGCTCGGGTCACAAAATCTAGTTTTTCCGGATACCCGGTTATCCGAGTACCCGATTAGTTTTTATATTTTTATTTTTTATATTTTTTATATATAATTATATAAAATATAATAAATTATTTATATTATGGATTATTAGATTTTGTATTTCGAACTTTTAAATTTTATGTTCGGATATTAGAGTATGTAATTCGAAGTTTTGAATATTTAAATTTGTGTATATTTTTTAAAAAATTAATATTTTGAAAATAAAAAATAAAAAAACCAGGTACCGGGTACCCGTAAAATCCGGGTCGAGACACGGGCCGAGAAATCGTCGACCCGGAAGTTCCGGGTACACGAAAATCCGGGTACCCGGATTTGCATACCCCTAAGTAGTAGTGCTTGACCATTATTTATTGCTTAGAAATTATCGGATCATGAATGGGCTGGCGCCCTGGCTGACAAATCAACTTAACCATGACAGTTATCATCTACAGCTACAAATCCATTGTTTCAAGCTACTCCTTTCTCACATGTCTTTATCATCCATCTCTCGTGAAATTTGGTTGGAAAACACTGCTTTCACAACAGTGCATGAGCTCGACGTGTTTTTGGCAACATTGAGGTTCAAGTTAATTAGGCAATCCTTTGCTGCAATAATGCAAAAAGTTATCCGACTGTAAACTCTATATTTGTAGCTACTTACGTGCCAGAACTTGACTTCCTAGCATCTATAAAAAAAGCGTCCCTTCGCCTAGCTATGACACTCATCATTCTCCAATAATCTTCATTCCAATCGAGAAATGTCCAGCTTGTTCTTGAGGTCTTTGCTATTGCCTCTTATCTGTGTCTTGGCCTTAGCCCCGTGGTCACACGGGCTGAGCCAACGGCAACAGCAACCTTCTTCGTTAGTCGCTGCATCCAACACGGTTCGATACCATGGAGGCCCTCTCTTGTCCAACTCGAATGGCATTAATGTTTATCTCGTATGGTACGGAGGGTTCTCTCTGAAAGATCGAAGCTCCATAACAGATTTCTTCGCTTCTTTCGTGAGCCCCGGTCCACGTCAAGGACGTTCTGTTTCAACATGGTGGAGAACAGTCAGTACATACAAGGACAAAACTGGGAAACCAGTTTCCAACACTGTTAGACTTGTGAAACAAGTTGATGATGCATATTCTTCAGGGAAGAACCTTAAGCGCGCCCAAACAGCCAACTTGTTGAAAAGCAAGATAGACAGCAAAATCTTTCCATTAGACACTAATGGAATTTACTTGGTTTTGACTGCTAAAGTGTTACAGTAGAGAGGTTCTGCATGGGATCATGCGGTTTCCATGACAGCATATTAGTAGGGGCAACATCTCAAGTGGTGTTCGCACATGTGGGAGACCCTACTGTCCAATGCCACGGTCTTTGTGCTTGGCCTTATGCTCTGCCTGCTTATGGCCCTCCGGGACAAGCCTTAGTGGCACCTAACGGCATTGGAACTGATGGCATGATCATAAACATTGCTACCCTACTTGCAGGGGCTGCCAGTAACCCCTTCAAGACAGGTTATTTTCAAGGGGATGCTTTGGCACCATTGGAAGCTGTCGCGGCCTGTCCTGGAATATTTGGCAGCGGGGCGTATCCCGGGTATCCCGGAGCTTTGTTGGTCAATAAAATGAGCAAAGCTAGTTATAATGCATATGGTGCTAATGGTAGACAATTTATTCTTCCAGCCATCTGGGACCTTATTAGCTTGAATTGCAAAGTTATCACTTAGTTTCCTTGGGATAAACTCTATTATGTCAAAATTGTCAAAGCTGGGCTTAAAGCCTGTAGAACCCTGTATTAGTTATTGAAGCTTCTGAATCATTCTGTATCTCCTAATGAATTCTCTTATTTTTTTGCTTTTTGTTAAGAGAAAATATGCATATTTTGTACTACTATGTATGGAAATAAAATGATCAATATACATGAACAAAACGTGTGAGGATGTTGAAAATTGGAAACAAAAATGGGCTTTTGAATTGATTATTCTTTTAAAATTTAACCAATCTTGAAATAAAACAGCCATTGCAATACGATAGGAGCTGTCCTTACACACACACACACACAAAACCAAGAAAGCACTAGCAAGACGTATCTACGCAACTTGCTTTTGAAAAACAAAGCAACTGGGATTATTTCTATGCTGCATTTTAACTATACCCTAAAAATTATATATATATTTTTCCCTCTCTAAAAGACATAAAAAGAACATAGAGAAGGAAAGGAAAGAATCATAAATCACCCAAACGTGGTAATTAAGGCGTATATAAACTTGTTACTTTCTACTTCCAGTTTTGCGTTTACCATCAGCAGTAGTTGGTTGCCTACCGTTTCGGTTCAAATGCTGGCCAACTCCATTTGCAAGTTTCCTAGAGGGTGATGGCCCTGACATTGGATATAAACTTTTGCTGCAAAACATTTACCAGCTCTTTTAGTTGCTTGGAAAAAGCTTACGATGAACGTACACAATATTCGAGATCATGAGTATCGTAATTGCCTTACCTTAGTTCAGATCTCCTTGCTGGTTTTAAAGTAGGTTTCTTGGTATTTGACTCCATCCCATTGGTTATGCTGCTAAGCTTGGAACGATTGAATTCCCAAAGCAAATCAGTCTCAGATGAGTCACTGGTGGTAGCAGCATCAATATCATCTATGTCATTAGAACAAGCCATGTTGAACCTGTTACTCCCAATGAACACATTATATGATTGTTCTGGGTACATCTTCGAAGAATCTTGTAGATATTTCTGGTAAAGGACATCAGATAACTTCCCATTTTCTGCTTCCCAACATCCTAGGGAGTTTCCTACTCTGTTAATGGCAGCTTGCTTGTTCACTATAACCTTATCCACCCACTCACCCGAGCCCAATTCTTGCTCATCATTCCTAAAATTTTGGGCAGGACTCTTAACAGGAGGCCAAGGAGGTGAATTTGCTAATAGCTCATCAAGATCAAAGCTTTGCGTCTTTTGCCTCAATTTAGAGTTGGTACACAGCTGAAAAAGCAGAAAACGTAATCAAATTTGAACTCAAGAGAGAGAGAGTATATGTATGCATGCATGTAAATATGGCAATAGCAGAATGCCTGATGATATGAATAGCCAAGCTTTCTAGAGCTTGTCGAGCGAAGTTGATACATTACTGATAATTATTCATAAAATTTGGCAAGAAATTTCAAAAGAAAACTGACTGGAGAATAATTTCCCCCTATCCAAACAACTTTAACGGAGAGAGAGCAAAATAGAAAGAAATGCACATGTCAATTCGTATTAGGCCATGGTCCTCACTCTCAATCACTCGATTGCATATTGCCATAAAAATTTAAATTCGTTGAACCCATCAACACTATATTCTTTAAATTATGAGGAGGCATTTTGGACTTGTGACTGATGGTATCTAACGTGATTAAAGAAATTAAAACCTTCATGTAAAACAAGTACCTCAATGTTGCCCATATCACCCATGGGTTGTCTAGCCCCCAACACATCTCCAGCCCGGTGATTAGGCGTAAAGGGAGATAAGTCACTAGCCTTTGTTCGGAATTTTTCAGAGCTGTTAAATTCATAATGCTGATTTTTCTCGGCTTCTCCCTCTTTCCTTGCCAATGCTGCCTTAAGGCTAACAATCTAAAAAGATGACTCCAATAAGTTACCAAAGGGGACAATATCACATTTTCCAACTATCTCAAGATAAGAATCTCAATCAATATGAATAGGTAACTAAAAGTAGAATAACCTGTTCTTTGAGTTCTTTAACATCAGCAGTATCTTTGTTCACTCGCGCTGCTCCAAGTTCAACAGTAGCCACACGCTCCGCAAATTTGAGAGTACTTATTGTTTCACCTATGGCATCAGGCTCAGGGCTTATGTGAACAAACATTAGTGACTTGGCTTGCCCTCCTGAAGATACATTTCCAGAGCAATTAAAACTTTTGAAAAGAAAAAAAAAAACTGATGTAGTAAATTTAACACCTAAATGGAACTGAACAACAATTATTTTGACAGTTTAAACTTACCCAGTGAATCCTGAAGAAGTTGAGTGAGTTTGCTGTTTCTGTAAGGGACATGTGGATTCTTTTGAGAAAGGGAAGCAATCACATCTCCTAAAGCTGATAGAGATTTGTTTATGTGTTGTGCTTCTTTTAGTCGATCTCCTGTTACTTCGGACTTGTTTACTCTCTCACTTCCTGCAAGATCAACAAGATGCATGCAGCCACGGAGAATAGTTCCAGATGTTAAATCTCTTCCTTGAACATGGACAGTCAAGCAACTGCAAAGTGATAAAAACTGAAATTAGCTTTAGAATGAAGATATTTTCAGGATCAAGCAGTCTAGAGAGTAAGATGTTACCTATGAGAACGACTACTACGGTCATTTAGGGCTGTTGCACCAACTGCACGATTCCTTTGTCCTAGGTTCATCAGATCAATAATATCAGCCGTTGATAAAACAGGCATGAGGCAAGCATCTGGTACGTTAAGACCTGTTTGGGACCTGTTGCGAATATCTAATGTATTAATTAATATATTAAGGATAAGCCTCGATAGAAAAACGAATACAAAGGATCATCCATCCAAACCTATAGTAGGACAGCTTTTTTTCTAAATTATCAATCTGTCAAAACTCAAAACAAATTTACATACTTGGGAACTGATAAGATGATATAATATTATAACTTTTGTAGCATATAAAACCAAATGGATTGAGAAAAGGATATCTTTTGTTACTTCCATCAGTAATAAGGAGATCCCTGACTTGCTCGTTATAAATCTCGATCATCTGAACAGAAACTTCATAGCGGAAACTATCCTTTCTTTGTTCTGCTAGAATAAACAAATCACCTAATGCCCTATAATTAACACCTTGATTTTTCTCTGTCAGGTCTTTAGGGCCAGCCTGTATATGCAAACCAAAATAATCCACTAAGTTACAAAGCTAAAGGTATATTTCATAAAACAAGTAGTAATGTACGAATTATCATTCTCCTAGTTCAGTGAATAATCCAAACACTCTGTATTACCATAGTATAAGTTTTTCCCGAGCCTGTCTGGCCGTATGCGAATAGACAGACATTGTATCCATCAAGAACTGATCGTATAAGAGGCTGCATATCAGAAAAAACCTCCGCTGCAAAGGCAATATAATAAGATATAACTTAAATAGAAGCTAAAATTTAATAAAGACTATCGCCATACAATTAAACTCATAGTGAAGCAACCTTGAGTTGCAGATGGCCCAAAGACTTTGTTGAAGGTGAAGGACTTCTGTCCTTTACCATACTTTGACAGGGTGTTTACAGTGATGTTTCCTTCTTCTATATGATCAACAGTGCTCAGGTAGCTTGATTGTCCAGACAAGAATGGTCTCACCCGACAGTAAACACGAATACTTCCTGGTTAGATAAAGTGGATAACCTTTTATAATCAATGGGAAGACTCAAAACAAGGATGATCATGATATTTAAAAGTTGCGCAATGATAAACTATTATTTACCTTTAAGGTCCTGCACTTGATTGTATAGCTTGCGATTTTCTTCTAGAACCCTATGGTAAGCAGAAGCAGCATGAGCTAGACCACAAATATGCATGCCTGTAAAATAATAATTAACTAAAATAAGAGAAAAATACCCGTTGAATACTTCCATTAAACAAGAAAATAAACAAATAAATACTTCTATTAAAGTTAGCATACCAAGATTGTTGAATTCTTCATGAAATTTCATTTGTATCAATTGCATGCCAGCTTTTGTATAATTAATAGAATGTTTTAGTTCCTATAAAAATTTATAGTTCGTATAAGTGTTTCATTCAAGTATGTAAATTGAAAAGAAAAAGAAAATAGTGCACAATTAGCTCCAACCTGAATATTTCTTTCTTGTTGATCAAAGATAATTTGTTGTTTTTGACATCGCCTTTTTAATTCCTTAACATCAGTGAGATTCTTTTGATAGCGGTTTATCACTTTGATGTTCTTTTCCTCAATCTAAGCCATTACAATCATGAAAAAGAAAGATAAAACATGATCTGCATCACTGAGACATATAAGAAAATTCATCTAATGATCTGTAAGTAGAAAAGGAGCACCGTATACCTTATTGTCCCCAGGAGTTTGTTTCAATAGAGACTTGCTGAAATGAGGAGTGATGTCTTTTGAAGTTGTTTTCATCTTTCAATTTGAAGGAAAATAATTATATAGCAAAAATTAGTTAAGATCAGTAATTAAACAGTAAATGACTTTTATTATTTGAAGTACACACTTCACAATTACAAAAACTAGCATACCACTTCATATTGGCTTGCAATCCGATGTTCAAACTCCTCTACGACTTTACCGAGCACAGATTCAACCAGCTAAAACAACCAAGATGACCCAAATAAGTATTAGAAATAGCAAAAGGATAACCATCATTTATGATATAAAAAAATAAAAATGAAAACTAATAGAAGACGTGATAAATTAATAAGAATGCAAACTGTTCTACAATAATATCAGGCTCAGGAAGACCTGAGATGACTGCGATATATCAGTAGTTAGCAGACTAATCACACAAACAAATGAGGAAAATTACCATCGGAACTTCTTCTGGCTTTTTATCTATCAGAATGGCACGAACCAACATACTTAATGAACCAGAACCAGCCTGCTTGTACAACAAGAAAAACTAATATAATTCCTTTTTGGTTGTTCAAGTAGAATATAAAACAAACACTAACAGTCAAAGCTTACCACAACCATTTTATTCGGTTGAATTTCATTAGGGTGACCATTTGATAATTTCTCATTCATTGATGAGGTCCTTAGCAAGGAGTTGGTGAAAGGCTCTGAATTCTTTCTTACAATCGACTTTCCCAACGTGGTAGTGCCAGGTTTTATATTTCCACCAAATTTCCATACTCCATTTCCACCTGTGAGCTTCCATTCGTAATAGGATTTCATCCCTAGAACACAATTCACCACCCTTGAAGATTTGCCTCCCTAAAGAATTTTAACCAAATTTGAAGTAAACAAATAGATTACTCGGTAAAACGGTTTTTTTTTTTTTTTGTGAGTAAAAGAAATGGTACATAAAAGTGTCAGGAAGCTCCATTACACGGTAAACAAATAGATTACTTGGGAAACATACTTGTTCTAGATCAGATGCCTCAAAAGAAGGAAGCCCCAACTCTTGCCCAGCAACCAAGAAATTCCTCACGTTTTCAAAGTACTGGAATGCTGACAATGCAGCTCCATCAGGTATGAGGGCCGCATCAGCTTGACTTTCCACCACCTAAAAAGAATGAAATAAACCCTAATTAAAAGGAAAGTCAATTGAAAAATCAAAGAAAGAAAAATTAACAAAGCTCACCTTAGGCACAGTTCCAGGTTGAACTTTGTTGAGAACATTGCATAGAATTATTCCACTCCTCAAACCAAGCCTAAATTCTTCCTCTGATGGTTCTGCCGGTAAATCTTTAGCCGCCGCTACGCCAACCATCTTCCTCAGCCATCCAGCCGCTTCATACCTCCTTAATGCTGCCATAAAATAGATTATCACATTCAGCTGCTGCCAGTTTTTCTGTGTTCTTTTTACAACTTTAAAAATTAAATCATTTCATTCAAATTTTATTCACCAACATGTCACAGTTTTTTTTTTTAAATAACTGTAAATGATCCATGATCCAAGTTTTTCTTCTTTTTTCCTATTCGAAAAGGGTGGGGATCAGAGTAAGAGAAAACCAATGGAAATCAATTGTTGTGACTAGTTAAAAGTATACAAGGAAGGAAGAAAATGAGTGTTTTCAGTTGGAATTTTATATTCAACAAAATCTAGCTGCTGTTTTTTATCTGTTATTAATAACTAAAAGAACAAAAAATAAATACCAGCTTCCTCGGCTTTTCTAGATTCCAAATCAAGATCTTTGGAACGATTACATTGCTGTTGCAGTACATCCTCCACAACCGAAGCAACTGAAAACGACAACAATCTCTCTGCCGCCATTTTCTAGATTCCAAGAAAGGAGAAAAATATTACAGTTCCACCATCCAAAACACCCAAATCCCCCAAGGAAACCAAATTCAAAAATTCTCCCAAATGACAAATGACAAATGAGAGATCAAAACAAGGAAGCAAAGAACAAAAGAAAGCAAAGTTGGGTGGGGTTTCGCTGTTTGAGTTATATTTTTAGCTTCGTTTTCGATACTACAGACAGCACAATCACATTCTCTCCATACCTTTTATCTTCTTTAGCTCCAGTAGAATGTAGAAAGCCAGCTCTACTTTAAATCTCTCTCTCTCTCTCTCTCTCTCTCTCTCTCTCTCTCTCTCTTCTTCCCCACAGCCAAACCTGTCTCCGACCCTCACATTTTCAGAAGCAAATTTTTTTTTAATCCAACGAGGAGATTACCTTCTGGCTCAAAAAAGAAGAGGGGAAGAAGATCATTGGCTAATGCCCGACTTGGCACGCGTGGAGTACAGAGAATGATTAAGGAAAGTAGAAAAGTATGATTAAGGTTGTAATTAAATTATGCAAATGGCGGGAATGGCGGAATAGGAAGTTAGGTTGGCTTGGCGTATGGTCCCTCTAAAGGAATTCTGGTGCAGCTCAGCCCTATTGGTGTCTGCCTTCTTTTTTAAACTTCTTCCTTTATGCTTTTTAATTTGTTTAATAAAAGGGTCAGCTTTTAAAGAAAAATCTCCCCTACCCAGTTCTACAAAACATTCAAATGATCCATATTTATTTGAAGGCCTATATTCAAAACTTGTGTTTCAACAATATCATCTTTAAAGATTGAATTGAAACCTAGCACATAAATCTCATAGAATCCGAGTTATTTTGTTATAAACATGATTAAAACTGCTATTGTCAACAAAATCATCTAACAAATTCCTTCCACGTTTACAGACATTGACTTGGAGGAGCCCAACTATGATTATTGTTTAGGTTAAAAAAGATTTGATGTTATCAGTTGATGGAGATCTCTGCTCTGTAGGGAATAGGGAGGTGAGCAGAAAGCGAATAAAGAATTCTAAAGTTGGGCGCTTGGTGGAAAATGGGCCATTGGTAGGCAACATGCAGCTTTCGAATCTTTGACGGAGAAACAAACAAAGAGTGAGCAAATGAGCTTCGTCTCAACTTTGCGCAAATTTATTTCTGGGTTCTTCATTGGGCGAAGACAGTTCTGGTAGAGAGCAAAAGGTTTCTTTTAATCATAGATTTGTGGTTATTAGGTTTTTAGTTATACTGACAGTTGTTAGATTAAAAGTCCAAAAGTCGTTGAGATATCATACAATCCTTTTTTAATTTCAAATCCCAGTAGCACTGTGTATTTTTATTAACGTTCAAAAAATTCAAATCATTGGTTCCGTACCAAAACCAAGCAGATCCGGACCGAGCCTTTGTTGTTTATTTAATTATTTTCGAGGTAGATATGAATTAAATGATCACAATAGTTAATAAATAGTTGTTATTTTTAGAGGTTCGAAATTAAGTACAACGTTTGTAAAAATATTTAAACATTCATTGTTAAATGGTTGAAAGTTGTTCAAACATATATTATATTATAATCACCTCATATTAATAAAAAAATGATAAATTATATAAATGATCATCTGATTATAGAGTGTTACTTTGTTAAGTCTCCGACTATTAAAAGTTATAAAACGATCACTCAACTATTAATATGTTTCAAACTTGTAATTTTCCGTTAAAAAATGACGATCTTCTGAGCTAGACGTTAACATGTTATTAAGATATAATAAAATCATATTTTAAATGATGTCTACTAATTTCGTCTTTACTTTCAAGCACTGGCTCGAAGTCATAATGTTTCAAGCACTAGCTTTGACGACATAATATAAACGGAGATTCGATCCACAAAATATAACTCAAATGATTTTGAGATCATATTTTATCATATCTCAATTAACAAATTAACGTCCAACTTAGACAACCACCGATTTTTTAATGAAAAAGAACGAATTTGTAACATATGAATAGTCAAGTAATTATTTTATAACTTTTAATAGCTAAAATACTAAAAAAACAATGTTCTATAGCAAGAGAACTATTTTATAAATTTCAATAATCAATAGACTCAATAAAATAACATTGTATAATTAAAAGATACAATAACATAAAATCTATAATTAAAATATTATTTTATAATTTTTAATATCCGATATACTTAACAAAACAATACAGGTCGGAGAACGTTTATATACGGGAAACGCTCACGTGCGACACCTTAGTATACGGCTAAAATAAGGCGTTACCGGTTTTATTATTATTTTAAATAATAAAACCGGTAAAAATGACCGAAAAATCATTATTTTGACCGGTTTTAGGTAAACGCGGTGAAAAAAATCCGGTCAAAAATAATGTTTTAGATACCGCTTTACCGAAAACATCATTTTTTGATCAGATTTTTTTACCGCGTTTACCTATATAGGTAATTAAAATAGGTCAAAATAATGACCTATATAGGCAAATCAAACGTCACCGTTTAGCAACCGACCGAGCTACGCCTCATTCTCCTCACGTTTGTTTTAATGGGACTTGGCAAGTTAATTTATTCTGTTAAAAGCTTCACTCTCTCGCTTTCGTTGAGTTGAACCCGTGTAGGATTGAGTTTAACTCAGCGTTGAGAGACCCACTCAGGTTTTATTTGAAACCTCGAACTGTTATTTTTAAATGGGAAGATTAATCATTATAGAATTAAACATTTTCCCTTCATTTTGAAAACATATTAATTGAAACAATTTCGGCAACCGAGGAGTGTCCAGAATGATGTCAATAGAGGGGAGTGCGGTCCATGGTATCTAGTAGCTGGAATTGCACAAAACTGAAGCAAAATCTCCATAATTCAACTCCCCGACATTGGCATTAATGTGCATCCACTACAAAGAGGCAAAAAGGGTTCATCCACTACACAATGTGTTCAAATTCCCAATCCCAAAGCAACAATTATTCCATTAATGCAAAACAGTAACATTCTTCTGGCATTCCCAAAGAGAAAAAAGAAGCTATAAGACCACCACTTACAACTCTAATAATAACAGTTGCTTCTTTCTTTTTGGAAAGAATAATAACAGTTGCTTTTGAGCAGTCAACTTTAGGGAATTCCAATTATCAACATTAAGGACTATGTCCACTGAGGAAACGAATAATTTAGTCCCAATGAATGTTATATTGGAAAAGTTAAAGTACACAGCGTCATGATAATAATTATTGCCGCTGGCAAGTGTGTTTTGAAAGAAACTTTGGATCCCGATCCAAGCTGGAAGCCCCAATTTCTAACCATGCCACTTAACATACTTATAACAGTTGAAATCTCTCTCCAGACTCGATACGAACAATGTTCATCTTGGGTCAGGCTTAATTAGTATTCAAGGCCCAGCAAGCATTTCTGTTATACTCAGCATTGAGGGAAAAAACTAGGGCTTTGGATTAGTGGGTTTTACTCTTCTTTTCTAAATTCGTATTTTTATATATTAGACGGATAGATGATGATGATGATGATGATTGTTGTACATGTTTTAATATCGACTCAATTAGTATAATGTATTTTTAGCATGATGTATAATAAAAAAATGATTAAAAAATATTTGAGGATTTATGGATAATAATTTTTTTCCGAAAAAGAATATAGAATTTTTAATAGTGCAGGTTCAAAATTCTTTTATCACTGTTTAAAAGTATATATATTTTTCAATGTCTATTTATCTCCAATGCCAAGTAAAATAAGAAAAGTATAGTTAGGAATTAAAAGAATAATTTAAGAATACATTAATTTTATGATAAACTTGTTTTCCCTTTTAAATTAACTCGTATTTTTCTGCCTACCTATATCAATGGTCCTATAAATCTAAAGTTTTAATGCTTTGACATTTGATGTTTCAACAGTTGTAGAGACAGTGCTCTCTGATGGAAGTATAGAGTAACGGCTTTTCAATCAGTGTAATCGCATCCTTTAAAGGTTGGTATTGAGCAGCTGTATTCCACTTCTAAATGTACATATATACATATCACAGCAACAGTAAGTTTATCATTTCATTATCTTTGTCTTCCCCAATATTATTATTGTATGACCATGATATCCAAAATCACCACACTAACATTCATTGTGTCTATAATCGCTATAAATATGACAAATAAAAGTACGACTGTAATCGTAATTTAAATCCATTATCTATTATATATGGAATTTTGTTTTTAGTTTTAGTACCACTCGTCTAACTGTTACAAACTCAGACTTCAGTTACAAGGTCTCACAAAAAGACATAGTAATGATTTAAATTTTCCAACAAATATTTGGTATCATTATCCAGAGAGCAACCAATCATCATACGTAAACAGCTTAAACTTTTTATATTTGGAAGTTTCCTCAATTCCCACCCAGCACCATGGCGTAGTGGGATTACTTTTAAGTAAGATGGGATTAACATTTAACACGTGATTTCATCACACAAAAAGCCTTTTTTTACGCCCCCAAGTTTTCATCGTATTATAATAAGCCTTTTTTTTTCCACCCACAAGCAAAAGCGTAAGAACCGGGGTACACAATTAATGACTGCGTGAGGCGATTCGTTTTCTAATAATCATCGCTATAACTGGTGGATTATATTTTATCTTCCGGAAATACCCCTAAATTATTGCTTTTGCAAATTTGTATTGTCATTCTAGAATATGAAATCCTGTAGTCAAACATCACGACTAAAAAGCACAGGTTTTTTTTAGTGAAATTTAATCTCAAAGAATAGTTCGGACGCTGGTGGATGTTTTATCTTTCTTCCAATAGCTTTTTAGTAATTTTTTTATTGTAGTATCGATTTCCAAATTTTATCTTAATTAATTTGAATTAATGTGTACAGTATATCTAGTTTTGATAATTATATTTATATTAAAATATGTAAATAGGTAGTGCAAGCCATACAGAAAGACTGGAGGTTGCAATTCTGGCGTACCTTTTGTAAGAGTAATAAAATGGCTGATTGTTCGACAAAACTAGCATGGGATTTCTCATCGAGTACCCACAGACTTCAGTCCCCGCCGATCAAAGTAAACCAACTGATCCATGAGAATAACCAAACTCATACGGCCACTGCGCTAGAGTAGTGTTTATGCTCTTCATTTTCAGTCAATATATATACACTTGTAAACATATATTTAATCAACTATTACAAGTAAAATGATGATTTGTCAAGTAATAATTTTCAATTATATTATTTATATTTTTTTAAATATTTAACATAAAATCTGGTTTTAGAAGTTAATAATGCAAAGAACACAAGTACAACAGATAAGAGAGATATGGGAATAGAATTTTATTGCATTTTTCATCACACAATCACAAGTAATATTCTCTTATTTATATAAGAAGATAATACATAATTTAATGTTGAAAACTAAACTCGTGTTGACATATATATATTAGGTTTAGGATGGGTACATGTTTACGTTGGAATATGAATTTTTTATTGTGTTCACTTTAAAATTTATTTATTTTTTGTTATTTACTTATTCTATTGATTATACCTATCTTAGTGTTTTATTTGATCTCACCCTATACCAAAAAAATATATTATTAATATATGTGTGTACATCCTCGAAAATATTTCTAAATCTGTCACTAATCTCATGGATTACCGAAATCTCAAATGATTAGAAGAAGTGATAGTAATTGTTTGTTTCATTGAACATCAAGAAAATATTGTTTCATCCTATGTGAAAATATAATCGATTTATGATCGTACATTGTGAGGATCATATAAGTACTCTATATATGTAAAACAAACTAAATCTATTTTAAACACGTACCTTGAAGATAACATAAAATATGTTTAACCCTATTTCAATAGCTTACGATTAGATAATACATAAATCTTGCTAATAAATTGACAACAAATGATATGTCAATTCGTATATAACTAATAAGATATGTTAATGCATCAATAACACCTAAGTACGGTAATTTAGAATCAAGAAAATCTCATCATTTTTTGGAGGATAGAAAATAATCTTTATTTACATTATGTGATCTAAAAATTATTAAATTATTTAACGAATGTGTTTTATACATGTAAATTATCCTTAGTTGATGGACAATGATTCTATTATTTAGGTACTCAATATGTAATTCTATATAAATTGTTCTTTTCAAGGTTTTTCATTTCAAACTCTTTCTTTAATGTTATTATCAATACGACATGTATCAAGTGATATATCAGAATTGGTGCAAAACTAACTAGCTTAACTTAAACAATCAAGTATTACAAGACGATATGTGAATCAATATCTATTTTTTCTTTTTGTCAAGAGAAGATTCTCACTTTCTGGAGATGGAGTGAATCGATATCTATTATTGAACAAGAACATGACATAGTTCTTAGTTATCTTAATTATAACAAAGACGAAAATTAATAGTAGTTCTTATCAATATTTGTGTTTATCACATGGAAAAAAAAAGAATTTTATTATCAAACATATTTTGATAACTTCTCCTTAAATTGTATGAACATTGGATTAAAATAATGCTTAATTTCTTAAAATTAAAAAAAAAATTTTCTAAATAAGAATGATTATTATTTGAACATGTCAAATTTGGACAAGAATAATGCTTTTGGATAATTCTGACACTCTATTATTGTGTATTGATTTGCATTCATGACATGTATTACAGCAAATTACCATTAATTCTAATCACACAAGAACTTTATTTATAAATTACAGTTTTATTTTACTTATTTACTTTTTTTATATGAACATAGTTTTTTAATAAGGGTTTATTGTATCTTTAAATATTTGGGTTTTGACATTTTGTTCTAATGGGATATATATATATATATATATAATTTGGTACTTGAATTTTGCATTTTCCCTAATTAATACAATACAGTGTCCTTTTTGTTCAATTTGGTATATGAATTCAACAAATATTTCACATTTGTAACTTGAATCTAATATTTTTTAATATGCATTCAATTGAGTATTTTACATTTATATATCAAAGAGTTTTATGATTTTTAAAAAATTATAATTTTAAAATAAATTATGATTTTTTTTCTGAAATTTAATTTCAATGAACAATCATGTAGATATTTTTTATAAATTAATCACGCGACTTATTTATGTGGTTTGTGATCATGAAACTAATCAAAGGTTCAACTACCCCATAAATATTTAAAGCTGATAAAATCAAGTGGATAGTAATTAATTTTCGAAACGAGTAAAATGTTTAGGAAACAGAGGGTCAAGACCGTCATTTAGATCACTTTTAGTTTCTGTTATAACAATCATTGAAATGCAACGCGGAGTAGCGAAATCAGAATTCATGACGACAGAGCTATCTATTTTTCAGTTTGCGCTCAGTCTAACAAGTCCAGCGTTCTCCAGAAAAAACAAGCACAGATAGAACAAACGCTCGTGGGTGCCTTTTTCACTCTCCTTTTTTCCTTCCATATCCTTTCAATTTCACTACTCCGCCCAAACGACCAGTACTTTCACAGCGGTAAGATGTCAAACTCGGTACTCCGAACTCAGACGAGGGAGCGGTTCTACAACCTGCCGGCGGTTAGGCGGCATCAACAGCAGTTGCAGAGGCAGCAGCAGACATTCAGACCGTCGCAAAATGAGATTTGGAGACCGTTGAACAAGGAGAACCGAGTCAACTCGGACGATTCAATGACTGAGATTCGGATGGATTCTGACGAGCCTACATTGTTGTCGCCGAAGGTTTCTATATTGTCTAATTTGGATAGGCTCATGGAGGCGGTCACTCCTTTTGTTCCGGCTCATTGCTTCTCTGAGGTATTGTGAAAAGGATATATATTCATTTATATACTTTCTTTGAAACTAAACATAATTTCTGTGGATTGTTTTTTGACTTCTGTTTACAACTTTTTGATGGCTACAAGGAAAAGTACAAGGCGAAGCCTTGGAGAGCTAATTGATATACTGTATTGTTATTTTTTTGGCCGAGTAAAGATGAGCTTGCTTTAGGAAAGACAGGCAAATGATTTTTTTTGGGATAAAAGTAATACAAATGATTATGAATTATTAATTAGAAATGGAATGGTCAGTTTGTTACAAATTCCTACGTGTAGAGAATTAGCTTCTTTAATTATGCTAATTAATGGTGCGGCGGTTTAACAATTAGTCCACGACTTGCATTCTTGTGGCCCTAAAGTGATAAGAAGATTAGGTTTATCTGGTTTGTAAGGTAACAGCGGTGCAGCCTCGTCAATGGAAATAGAAGAATAGATTTATTTCTTCTATATATTATGGTTCCATTAATAGTTGAATGCTTTAATTGGTTCAAGGTTTATTTAAGGGGAGAGTTTGAAATAGATTACATTATGTATTTATGTACCAATCTGTGCTTAATTTTTTACTTCATGGCTTTCATTTGTGCTTCTTTTGTTTATTGATTTGATAGGCAAAATTTAGGGGATGGGAAACTCGTGAAACAGATTTGCACTCATATTATTGTCTCAGTGATCTTTGGGAATATTTTAGTGAGTGGAGTGCATACGGTGTTGGAGTCCCGCTAACGTTGAACGGGAGTGATTCTGTTAAGCAATACTATGTTCCTTACTTGTCAGGCATACAATTGTATGTTGATCCACATAGGCCAAGGTGAGGTTCTTACTGCCATATCCTCCCTAATTTTTCCCTTTCAATATGGTAGTTGGAATTGATGTTTTTTAATTATGTCATATTGCTCTTTTAGTTAAAATGTTAGATACATGGAAGCGGAGAATATTCTAGATTTTTATTGGTTCTTATGCTTCCTCTCGATATTGCAGTGATAATAACTAATAAGTTACATTCATGGTTGATAAACATCAAACTTTTTCCATATTATCTGGCAGCAAGAAACCTTGGATGCACTCTCTTTAAAGAACCCAACTTGTTTGGGAATGATTGGTTGGGTTTCCTACATAATGCATCCACTGTTACAAATTATTCTTTTCGAACAGATTCTTAATGTTAATTGTTCTCTGGTTGCATTGTCATTGAACATGGAAAATGCTTCCCATACCTGATATCTACTGAATCTTGATATTATACTTTACACATACTAAACTGCACCTGAAAAATAATGGTTACTTAATTGTGAAATCATTTATTTCTGATGCTACATCTGATCCTCACAAATACCACTGCCTTACTCTACTCTCACCCTTGTATGACGACGCTGTTTATTAAATCTTATTCTGGGAACTCGTGGAGCAGCATGCAACAAAGAGCTGTATGCCTGATATTAGGCGATATGTATGTAAAACCTTTGGAGCTTTTGAGTTGCCTTAGTGTTAATCTGCAAAAATCTGCCAATGTATTCAAACTATCAGGACTAGTAAGGACAGTGATGCTGGAAGTAGTGACTCTGAAACAGATAGGAGAGTAAAAGGTGGTGTTGATGGAGCTTGGTCACAGCACAACTCAAAGAGTACGAATAGATCACATATTAGTTCCTCTAGTGATGATGTTCAGGTTGACAAGTCAGCTCAGCTGCTGGTTTTTGAATACTTTGAACAAGAGCAACCACATCATCGAAAACCTTTGTATGACAAGGCAAGTTCACATGTGGTGATTTAAAATGTTGTTCTTTCTCTTCAAATGTCTGTGTGTTCTGACCCAAATGCTTGTGGCGCCTTTTTCTTACCCACCAGATTTCAAGTCTTGCATCTCAATTTCCAGGGATCAGGATGTACAGGAGCTCTGATCTATTACCAGCAAGTTGGATTTCAGTGGCTTGGTAGGACATCTAATACTTCTAAAGATTGACCAATTCACTGCTCTTTTAAGCTTTATATATGTTTGGTCATTATTTTTGGTCTATAGGTACCCAATATACAGAATACCTATGGGTCAAACCCTACAAAATCTGGATGCATCTTTCTTGACCTTCCATTCTTTGTCAACACATTCTCAAAGTATACCTCTTTCTTTCTCATTTATGATCATAGGGCATGTTGCCGGTTGGTTTGTGTTGTTTTGAGTTAATTTTGTTCATTATTTTACTGCTGGTGCAGGTAAAAATCAGCTGCAGAAACCTGCTTCTAGCAGTAGGAAAGTCTGTGGTGTTGAAGCATCTACAAATATCCCTCTATCAGTTTTTGGCCTTGCTTCCTATAAGCTGAAAGGTTCAATTCTGACTGCCAATGGTGCCCAAGAATGGCAGCAAGCAAGCTCTCTGTTACAAGCTGCTGACAATTGGCTGCAATGTTTACAAGTGCATCATCCTGATTTCCAGTTCTTTGCATCACATAACTCACAGTGGAGATAACCAAGATACCTTAGTTCTCTGTAACTGGTCTTTTGAGTGGTAGTTGGGGAATCGTAAAGGCTCTGTCGGAATGATACTTAGTGACAAATGATATAGCTTACTTAAAACTCTTCAAAGAAGCACCTTGTTTTTCAGCTTTTGATTCTAGACTGCATTCATTGAATACGAGGTAGCTATTTTACAATATATTCAGCTAGGCCACAAAATTACGATCAGCTCATCAGAATCCTGATGGTCACTCAATTGTTTACCGCGTCTCAGGTTCAAGTTCAAGCTATGTTTGTTCTTGGTACACTAGTAAATTATTAACCAAACAACCTTGTTTCTCTGCATCTACATGATTTATTTGATAAACATTTAGGAATATCGATTAAAATTCAAATGCCTGGACTGTATCTACACATATACATGTATACCTTCTGTTTCCAGAAAATACACATGAATTATCAGGGCTTATGAAGCTTTCTTCAGTTCTGTATTTACAAGAATACTTGAGCATATCGTTCTTCCTAGTTATATGAGATATTGTACATACCTTGCCCGGTCTAAGCCTGATTCGAACCTGAGCAACTCTAATTAAAATGAGCAAACATTTATATTTCATCAAATCAGTCAGGGGAAGGCCTTTGAACCATAAATATGAAGAACCCTAAACAGACCATAGCAGGGTTATTATCAAGGCACATGCCATTACTGAAGCAAGTGTTCAAATTTTATTAATACCTATGAAGCTTTACATTCAGATTAACTAACAAATGTAAGGTTTAAACAAAGCTAATAATGGCTTTTATTAACTTATGCTTTAAACATGAAATACAGGAGTTTGAACTCTGTTGAGGTCTTAATTGAGAAACATCAACCTATTAAATAAATTACATTACATTCTTGATTTATCCCTAGCTTCTACATTGAACTATCAGAATGTTCAATGCAAGAACGTGGATGACGGTCAGTTTGTTAAAATTTGAGGTTGTGGACCGTCGATTATGTTCTGCCTAGCTCATAAGCCACCATAAAAAATAGTCGATAACAATAGCCCTTGTACAAACTCACACTTGTTTGCCTTCTCTGAGTGCTCCTTATCTGACAATGGTGACGGGTGAACATCTCTGTACAACATAAACACTATCATGGATTTGCATTCAGTTAAGGGGGAAAACTTAAGTAATAATACCACTGACACTTGAAAAAGTTTGACACAATCATGCTGTTACAGCACAGTATCCAAAGGGTATTGCTTAGCTCAAGCACTAAAGAAAACATCTTAAACACACATAAAATAACTTACTTTTCTAACATTTTCTCATTTGAGCCTTTTTCCTCCAAGGTCACTTCAGTAGGAGAGGCAGGCTGTACACTTCCGGATGAATCAGCAGGAGGTGCACTATGAAGAAATGAAAGCAATGGATCGGGTCCTGTGGTGGAGGAAGAAAGTGAAGACCATGACCTGGAAAGAAGAGATTGATAATGCGCATCATGCAACTCCTTCCTCAAGGAAGAAAGAGTTGAATAAGAGTCGCCTTTATGAAAATTTAATTTGTAGTTACTGTAATCATTGGTCAAGGGACACAGATCATGAATTTCAAGGCATATGGCCTAAAATTCAAAAAAGAAAAAAAAAACACTCAAAGCATCCTCATGGTCACACAAAGAAAGTTAATATATAAAACAGACTGATTCAGATAGCTTTAGTGAAAGAAAGAGGATGTCACGAGAATTGATTCAAGCACAATGACAGGATCTAGAACAGGTAGTTGAAAGTAAAAGGGAATATGAACAAAACAAGTAAAATCTTTCAACCAAAAAGAAATAAAAGGATATTTTGAAAATATTCCCATGCTGCATTGTTATGTGATCAATCATGTTCATCCCAACTCTCTGAGCACAAACGGGACATACCTACAATTATAAGCGAACTGATTTACTGATCTTAAGCGTCATTTATGCCTAAACAGCAATTAAACTAAGCTGTCTTGAAGTACCCTGATCATTGTGAGATTCAATAAGAAGAGTTCCTTTTGGTAAGGTCAGCATCGAATTTATTCTTCCCAAACAGAAGACTTCATATTATGTTAATGAAGCATATCAAGGAAAAGTTCCATAAACTATAATTTACACTGACAATGTACGAGGCTTTAATTCCTACCAACAAGCCAACACACATACAAAAGAGATAGGGAGAGAGAGAATATGATATGCTAACTTAACTGCACACAATGAACTAAAGTACAAAAACTAATAAGGGCTCTATAATATTTTGAATCAATATCAATTTAAAAAATGGAGCATTACGGATTAATAATAAAAAGATAGGTTGACACTAAAAACACGAAGGTGAGAACAAATATTGCTCAGTAGCTTTAGCAATCATCTATTCACTAACAGTCGGAAGAAATTATAAGACAAAAAATTGAAAAATGATGGATGAAAGCATGAAGCCAGTGATCACTTCTAAAGCTTCTATGGGTAAACAATAACAACTTCAGCCAAACAACATTGCTAGAAAATGTACATAAAATGAGTAACATTAGGTGATAATGCTGAATGAGAAGGGGGAAAGGAAATCGAGGATTTTAGTTCTTATAACACCTATTCATCAATCTAAGTTTCCAGATAAATTACCAAACACTGTCAAACACCATTTATCTTCCCCCAAGTGGCAAGGGCATAGCATTAAAACATGGATCAGAATGATAAATTTCAAAGAGTTGAATGAGTTTCAACTTCCAAGGACATCCTTTGCTGGCCAACTTATGCACAGCCGCTAAAAGATTCCGATTCAGTTTTTTCTAGCCATTATCCACCCACAATTTTTACCAAACTAAAAGCATATCCAGGAAGAATAAAAACATTACCTAAATATCAATTCTGAGTTTTTAACAATCTTTTCAAAGCAAAAGAAAAATTTATGCCTAACAATAAATCCAGAAAGGGAAGTGCATATACCCCATAGCCGGCTTCAAGATGATGTTCTTCGTCAATATGGCAGCACAAGCCAAGTAAATCAAAATCCTCCGAACAATACGGGCAGGGGTATTCCGTCATCAATTCATCGTCTTCTTCGATCTCTTCAAAATCAATAAAAAGATCTGCTTCCAAAATCAATAACTCCCCAATTCAGTAACCGCATAAAATCCAGAAAACATTAACTAAAAATCAAAAGCAACAAAATAAAAAAATAATAAAAAACAAACAGATAAATGAACTACTAACCACTTTGGGATTTAAGAGTGGATTGATAGCTCCTAGGTGAAACTGAGAACGCAAAGCTCCAAGTATCATCCTCCATTGAAACTTAGATAACGCCGTAAACTGCAGCTGGGTTTGCTTTAAGAAAGCAAAAGAATCTAACACGGCTGCTTCTTAGATTCTCCTTTGTATTTCTTCTTCTTCTTCTTCTTCTTCTTCTTCTGCCTTTCTGGTTTATGAACAAAGAGCGACTTAAAAGGGAGAACAGGGGATTCGGGGAAAGAAGGGAAATTTTTGCGTTTTTAGGGTTAAATTAATATTTGACCACTGAACTATACACCGTTATCATTTTGACCCTTGAAGAATTTTTTTATCACATTACCTACTTGGATTTGTATGTATTAATCATTGGTAAAAATATACTCGAGGCCATTGTAGTATTAAAAAAATGTGGTTTTAAATTATTTTTCCACTTAATGTGACCTCAAACTTAGAAGAAAATCAATTTCACCCTTTTACTAATAATTTTTGTCCTTAACTGTTACGGTAAAGATGTAACACTTTAAGGTGCTGATATGATAGTCTATAATATTGACATGGTAGTCCACATGGGTGGTTATATGGTAAATGCCATGAAAAATGAGCTAAAAAATATCAAATTGATTTTTTTTTTTAATTCAAAGACTTATATTTAAAAAAATAAAGATATTTTTAAATTTAAAATAACATATACAAAAATTAAAAATTAAATTACTAAAAAATTAAAATAAAGGATAAGCAATCTATTCAGTCACATAATTATTATCATATTGGTCATCATTAACATTAAATTTTCTCTAAATTGGTCATCGACCTAGGATAATAATAATTATAGTCTCAAAATTTATACATTATATCCATTACTTTTAGTTCAAAATAATTCAAAATTTAATATAAATTTTATCAACTTGATTTTATTTTAATTTAAGAATAATTTAATAAATTTAATCGTCTAATAAGATAGTGACGTGAGTTGTTATTTTTTATTAAGATATAATGTCAAAATTAACCCCAATGTTTATCAATATAATTATTTTTTGCTTATTTTCTTTTTTTGGAGTATTTTTACACCCAACATTTTGTTTTAGGGAAAAAAGATCCATAATGTTTGATCGAATAGTGACTTTGGCCCTTGTTCTTTATTTCTAAAGTATTTTTTAGCCCTCAACATTTCATTTTAAGGTAAAATAAATTCCATTTTCTTAGTGTTAATCGTTTGTTAATTAACGGTTTCCATCTACAGAGGAACCTTTTTTCACTAGAATGAAACATACGGGCCAAAATGCTAAGAAAAAAATAGAGGCCAAAATAACTATTTCGGTAAATATTGGGGTTAATTTTGACGTTATACCTTTTATTAAATTCAAAGTAAGGCCCAAATGACCAAAGCAAAGCCCAAACCAGATCTACGGGAACGCAGATCCATCTTGACGGTTGTTGTTTCTGGACTGGAAAATAGTGAGAGAGAGATCTGTTAAGAAAATTCAATTCAAAGCTTTTACCATCTTCAACCATTCCCTCTCTCTCTCTCTCTTATCCCAAAAAGCCCTCATAAAAGATCCAAATTTCCCTTGTAATTCATCCTCCTTCACGGGCCATTTCTTTTTTCGATTCCCGGCGAGATCGGTACCCGTTGGCTTTCTTCTCCTAATGGCGACGAGAAACCAGACCCTCCAGTACAAGAAAACTAGGGATGCAGTGAAGAACGTTCGAGCTCCTCTCTCTTCCTCGGCATCTAGTTCCGGCGGTTCGGTTATTGAAATGGTAACACTTCTTTCCTTCGCAATAGTCGTTCTTCGTACGCTCCTCTCAGTACTGAAGAAGACCCTGGTCCTTCGAGGTAACTGTTTTCCTCTCTCTCTCTCTCTTTTGATAGAATGATTTTAATCAATTATCATTCTTATCTATTTATTTATTTTCGCTGCAGTAGTGGTGCATTTACGGTAGGTTTGCCGCCATCGTGGGTTGATGATTCGGAAGAAATAGCGGCAAATATTCAACGAGCTAAGGTCAAGATGACGGAGTTAGCCAAAGCTCATTCAAAGGCTTTAATGCCTTCATTTGGAGACGGAAATGAAGATCAACGCGCCATTGAGGTTTTAACCAGAGAAATTACAGATCTATTAAGGAAATCTGAAAAGCGATTGCAAAGGCTTTCGAGGAACGGATCTTCCGAGGATTCCAGTCTTAGAAAAAATGTCCAGGTACTTATCAAGAATTTCGTTCTTAAACAATGTTGATTTTTTCTACCTTCAATTCTAGATCAATAGAACGTGGTATAAATTAATTTCTGATTGTTTATACAGTGGTTTACTTTATTTATTTGTTAAATTCATCTTTGGGAAGCGTTCACTAGCAACAGACCTTCAGACACTATCCGTGGACCTGCGACGTAAACAATCGACTTATTTGAAACGGTTACGACAGCAGAAAGAGGTCTGTTTCAAATCTCTATGATTTCCTACTACGGTGCATGATTGATTTATACCCTGGTTAACTTTGTAATTTGTTTTATGGTGCACTGACAGGATGGTGTTGACTTGGAGATGAACTTGAATGATAACAGATATCGAGAGGATGACGATGAATTCAGTGGCATGGTAAGCCAATATTGCACTTGTACTCCATATTTCTACTGTTTCAATAGGTGGATTGGTTTTAATGATTAGGATGTACTTGGTGTTAAGGCCCAAGAGATTTCAATTTCTACTACAAAGTGAGTGATACTTTTAATAAAAAATTGGATCAGAAAGATGTTAAACTCAATTGAAGTGTTTAATTGTGGATAGTTTGTTGTTGGAATTTGCTTTGAACAAAGTTCACTTGTTTTGGAAATGTTTTGGTATGTGATTGATACAAGGCCTGAATCATTTACAGTTCATTTCAACCCGCTTTATGGTCTAGTACTTTAGTATGAATGACATGATGGGTGATTACCGCAGGGATTTAATAAGCACCAAATGAGCAAGCTGAAGCAGAGCGAGTTCACAACTGAAGAGAGGGAGAGAGAGATCACGCAGGTACCTGAATACATGTGGTTTATCGTTTCAATGTTAATTTCTATCTAATGAATATGGTATTTATGCAGGTTGTCCAGTCTGTAAATGAGCTTGCTCAAATCATGAAAGACCTCTCAGCCCTTGTGATAGACCAGGTATGATGCAGCTTTGTGTTGTGTTATGTTATGTTATCCGTTGTGGTTGATTGATACAAGCTGATTTTTGTATCTAATATCACCAATCAGGGCACTATTGTTGACCGAATAGATTACAATATCCAAAATGTGGCTACATCAGTTGAGGAGGGCTTCAAACAGCTCCAGAAGGTTGTATATATTTTTGCCTCACTCAGTCATCCATGCGTGCATATACACACAGGCAAACTCATTCCCTTATTTTATGGCCATATCCTGACCCATTTTCCCCTTCAAAATCTTTGGATACCAAAGACCATCTGCCCTCATCTAGTATATGGTTACTTCTGAATTCATTGCATGTGGTGTGTGTGCATTAGTTGCTAAGCTGTACTTAAGTTATGGTGGTTTGGACAAAACTTGAGACTTATATATAAGATGGTCGTCTTGTGTACACTGGAATTGCAGGCTGAGCGATCACAGAAGGGAGGGATGGTGAAGTGTGCGACAGTGCTTGTTATTTTATGCTTCATCATGATAGTACTTTTGATCCTCAAAGAGTTATTCTTATGATCATTTTAGGGTACCGTACTGATAGCGGCTTAGCATACTAGTTTCACATGATTCATCATGTATAAATGATGGTCCCGAGTAAGATCCTAATAAAAACTGAGATGCTAACATTCCCACATATGATCCTGATGAAAATCATAAACTGCGCTGTAAATAGTTTGGTATTGCACTGTTTTGGCATTGAAAAATTTCATTAAATAGGTGCTAGAATTTGGATTGTCTAGTTCCTTTTGACATTTGTAATGAGGTTGAGATTGTTCTAGTTTGTAGCAAATCAATTTTTGTGGGAAATTCTCAAACTAATGAAAAAATGGAAGGCAGTACATGGGTTATCTCGTCGGTCTTGAACTCTGATATTTTAATTTGTAGTTGGCATGAACATGATTCTTATTCTACTGATCCTCCTCCTATTTATTAGTTTCAAAATTACCATATTATCATCAATGTTGCCAATATGACTGATGAACCCAACACATAATCAAGGAAAATACTTTGTTATCTACCGAGTACTAATAATGAAATCTTGAACTCGTGTCATACTAAAATGTCGCTTTAAAACGATTGAGACGTGACCACAAAAAAATAATAATACGAACATGTTATGGATATAAAATGCGTCAAAACCTATTTAAAGTGAGTTATTAAAGTATAAAAAATTATATGAACTTATATGTTAAACATTAAAATAATACAAACAATGTATAATTTTTATCTGAATTGAGGACAAATATAGAATGTTTCTCAATATTATTTATTTTTATATTAAAATAAATTTCTAATTAAATAGTTTGCTTCGGTTTGTCTATTTGATTCTAAAATTAATAAATTTGAATTAGATTATCTAACTCAGATGATCTTAGTCTTAAATCACTCAAACATGAATCATTATTCAGTTAGTGTTCATCTCAATTGATTTAAAGTAACACGAGCTCAGAAATATCTTTTCTTAAAATCAATTAAAACCCTAAACTACCCGTAATAATATAACCGAATATCTTAATTAACCTAAAACGTTAAATCTAAATCAATTTATTCCAAATTTTATATTTTTATGCCCAAAATTATCCTTCACATCATGATTTATGACATGGTCTACTCGTCGAATTTTGGTGAGTTGAAATTTCAAATCGATTAATCTTCTTTACGGGATAACATGTGTATAATGGCATCAAAAGAAGAATAAAACAAAATCACTTCTTCCTAACTATGTTCAGATTTGGTATTTTTCTTTGTCAATTCTTTCAACTTTATAGTATGAATTTTATTTTTACGTGTTTGGACTGAACTAATTGTAGGGTTGTATTTTTATAGGATGCTGCTGTTTTCCCATGGCTTGGCTTTTGACTAATTCATGATGATTGTATAAATTGTCAAATGGAAAGGGCAGTTGGATAGGGGAGCCTACTGATGCACCATAACAATTAAGGACCTAATCAACAAGAAAAGCAATATGAGTGTGATCTAACAATTAATTATGATCCTTAATTATTAGAAAAG